AAATAAATGTAAATATGTAAATATATAAATATAAATATATATAAATATAAATATAAATATAAAAGAAATAAAAAAAGGGACAAACAAAAAATCGAAAATTCCGCTTCATTGTTGTCTCTAAACGATACTTCAAACATCCAAACATTTGAAACAGACGACAACAATCAGCATGAAAATAATGTTTATCAATTAGACTCTGCGTCTACTAGCCAGGTTTCCACCGTTAACGATGAATATATTGAAGTTAAGTTTCATGTTCATTTGCCGCAATCTGTTAAAGGTAAAGGCGATATATGTGTTGTCGGTAGCATTAAGGAGTTAGGTGAATGGATAGAGCCTGTTGTAAAACTTTGCCAACAAAGCTCTAAATTTTCGAAAAACAAATCTATTTATTGGTTTTCAAATATCGTCAAAATCCCACTTCAAGTTATTGAAGAAAACCACAAAATAACTTATAAATACGCAATATTTTTAAACAGTAAGCAACGAAAAGCATTAAAAAATGATATTAGTTTCGAAGGTTTTGATGGTAAATACGAACGTTTACTGGAAACAAGTCACAGAAATCACTATGATATATGGAAAGATAACGATTATTTTAAAATATCGTTTGGAATTAATAATTATGAATTTGTGAATACCATTTACAATACTTTAGATGCTAATAATTTAAATGACAAATTATTTGAATTTGATACTATATTTCAAAAGCACAAAGAATTAGTAATTGAAGCTGCTGGTATTCATTTTATTGAAGAAAAAATTAGAAACAATAAATTTAATGAACAAAAATTTTTTTTAATTTTTTTATTGGGGATCCATGGAAAAAATAATTCTAAAAATTTTCAAGGTTATAATTTTAAACCTCATAATTTACTCGATTCTATTAATCAAATTAAAGAAAGCACTTTTCCATCACAATTTTGTCAAATTGCACTAAAAGGCATTATAGATTTAGTATATCACATTGGAAAGCAGAATTCATTGGATTGGTTAAATATTTTTTCAGTCGCAAATATTTTGGATAAAGAATATTCTTTCCTTGATTCTTTCTCTGATATCAATTATGATAATAACACGATGAAAGGATTCTTTGAAGCTTTGCCGTCGTTAGTTAAACCATACATTGATGATGGTCTTGATATAAATATCTATACAAAAATTGCAAAAGTAGGCAATTTAAGAGTTTTTTTACAACAATTTTATTTATAATTTATTAATTTTATTTTTTAACATTTAGTGGCTAATAGAATTATGTAATGATATGAGTTCAATAGTAAGAATGTGGAGCGAAGTTATTGTTCATTCTTCAGAACTGGATGAAAAACTTCAAGAATGTATGGTTAATCGTATTGATCGCATCATCAGTAATAATAACTCTTTACAAGATCCCACAACTTTACTTCGTCATTATTTATATATTCCTATTTATATCAGACATAACATGAAAAAAACTACAAGAAAATGACAGTAAATTTTAGGTCTTTTATTTTCGTTAAATTATGATATCAATCAATAATTTAATAATTATTTTGGAATAAAATGTTATATTTTACAATAAATTACATTCCAAAAAAAAAAGTTAAATAATAATTTTTAATAAATAAAATTTAAAAAGATTTAAAAAATCTGGATAATGAACTATTCCACCTACTAGTGTTATTATTACTGGCATTATTGGCATTGGTATCTCTTTGATTATTACCATCGCCATCACCACCATCACCACCATTATTGTCATTATCGTTATTATTATACTGCTCAGGATAAGCAACAAACTCCTCATCCTCAACATCATTATGATTAGCATCATCATATTCTGTATCATATATTGTTTCATCACCACTACTAGTAGAAGTAGCATAAAGATAATCATCATCATCACCATAATTTGGTGATTTGAAATCAAGTGTCTTACAATATGTTAATAATTGATCTGCACCACATTCATTAGCAATTAGTTCAAATTCATTAGCATTGTCCATATTAACAAATTTTCCAAGTTCTTTTTCACATCGTTGAATTAATGGTTTGATTAAAAATCTTGTTGCTACATATAGCAAATCAATCCATTGTTCTACTCCACTTGTTGGTACAGTTGTTGCTCTTGGGGACAATAATGGTCTTTTTGAGGAGGATGATGATGATGATGGAGATACATCCATGTTATTATCACCTTTATCATCTTTGCCATCATCTTTATTAATTGACGATAGTTCACCCGTATATAAAAATTCAAGTATAGTCTTCATAGTTTGATAGGAAGTATCTTTCAATAAAAGTGTATGGTTTTGCGATTCAATCATTGGTGAATGGATTAATGCGTTAAAGTATTCTGAATTGTCAGTCAAAATTTTTGAATGGACATGAAATGATTTTTTTTTTGATGGTTCATTTGATGTGGATGGTGATGTTGACGGTGATGTTGAAATAGTGGCAGCATTTGAATCTATTGAAGTGGTCATACTGCATGAAATAGCCATATCATCTGAAGTAGTAGCAGTATTTGAATTCCCATCATAATCATTATCAAGAATAATTGTAAAATCACTATCTGATAAATCATCAAGTATAAATGGTTTTTTGATTTGTGAAGTATTATTCTGCAAAGGAGAGGAATAAGAAGGTATTGTATTATTGTTATTATTTAAAGGTAATTCACAAATAAATTGCGGCTTCAATTCTACTTTAACATCCAACCCAAAACTTTCATCGTCGTCTGCCATTCCATTCCTACTATTGGGATCATCTTTATTAGGACTAGTTAATGCTTGTCTAAATAATTGTGTTTTTTGCCAACAATAATGAGTTGTACCACCTGATAATAAGGCTCTTAACTTAAAGCCATGTTGATTTTTGACAACAATATTATTATTATTAACATCATCATAATCATCACCAAGATTAAAAACAGCAGTTAAATCTTTACGTCCATCATTATCATTTCTTTCCCAATATATATTATTATTGGTATTGTCACTATAATCTAATAAGATCCAATCTGTATTTGGATTAGATCTAGTTGGTGTCAATTGAATCATCCATTTTACTGATGCTGTTTCATCAAAAGTTGCAAATCGTAATTTTAGTGATATTGAATTGATTACCAATTTAGTAGGTCTATAGTCAAACTTCCATATAATATTTGCCGACTGTAATTCATTCATGGAGAAGTCAATAATTAAAAGTAAAATTGAGGGGGAGGAGTTAAATATTAATTATTATTATTATTATTATTATTTTAATTTATAGATATAGATGGATATAGTGAAACTTGCATTTTCCAATCATTCTCCTCTTTTCGACACATATTAACAGCTTTAAAAGCACCACGTTCCCACCCCCTTATGTAAATATCATCCAAATTTCTATTTTCATAATAAGCATTATTTCTAGTGTTATATGAAAGTCGATGAGTGTATGTGGTAGCAGTGTTACTGGAAGAAGATTTTAATGATAGATTTGGAACAAGATTTATTTTAAACATATCATTTAAAACTCCATAACATTTATTTTTTGACACAGAGGTTATTGTTTCATTATTTGATGCTGATGTTGAAGTTTGTGGTGAATTATCAATTTTGTCCTTTGATATTTTTGTTGCTGACGATGATAATTTATCATCCTTTTTTTTTTTTTTTAATTTCACAGCAGACTCTCCTTCAAAAAAGGCAGCATCTTGTCTACGTAGTATACAAGTAAATTGACGACTATAAGAGAATAAATCAGCAAAATTGGAATTAATAAATCTATCATTAAAATCACTATCTACATCATCATCATCAACATTAATGGTGTTATTATCATTATCTTCATTGGTTGCAGTGACAATAGTGGTTTGGTCTGTTCTAACAGGAAAAAATTCAACTGAATTATTATGGTTATCCTCATCATTACTATTCATAATAGTAGAAGCAGTAGTGGTATCATTGTTACTTTCTGATCCTTGTTCCGATACTTGTTCTTCTATTAATCTTGAAGAATTTTGAGAACTCATTTTTCAAATTTCGAAAATTTTATTTTTTTTTTTTTAAACGCTTATTATTATGTTATTAATAATAGCATTTGAAATATGATATCATAATTACGTTAGTAGAAATTCGATTATATAGTGCAAGACACCTAGTCCCACAACTTTTTATTGGCCTTGTAGATCCTTCTCTA